CACCAGCAAAACGCAAGGGACCCTTAACGTTACACATGCATACGTCTATGGTGGAAAAGACTACATAGAAATGCAAGTTCAAGTATTATATGTACTCGAAGCATACAACCTTTTTAACCTTAAACAGACGCGTACTTTTCCTTGCCTTTGTGATTCATTATCAGGTGTCTCTCGATTGCTCCTCATTTGTGCAGCTGATCGATGAAAAATAATGGTGCAGTCCTTCTCTCCCTTGGGATGGAGGTCATCAGTGGTCAAAGAAGTAGATCTTGTACTCGGGTGTATGGATGATTACAGTGTAAATTTACTTGATTGAACATGAAGCTCTTTAACATTTAAGAGAAAAAAAACAAAACAACGAAATGCACTGAAAGCACTGAATCTGCAGAGAAATAAACTGTGACGGATCCATTATGAGATTGTTAATATTGATGCATCTTCCCTTATTCAGCACTTTGCTGCTTTTTTTGCTTCTTTTTTTTTAAATTTATAGATGTAGCAGTTTCTAACTCCCATGCGTCAGAGGATAAAACAGAGGAGCAGCAAGATGATTAATGTGATAGGAAAGAAGGAAAAATAAAGTCCTCCCGTACAAATGTGTAAGCAGCATTATTTGGACTTATCTCTCAATTTTTTATGAAATAAGAAAGAGGTTAGCCCTGCATCAGACTGGCAGCTAGTCCAAGGTGTACCCCACCTCTCGCCCTGTGGTAGCTGAGATAGGCTCCAGCACCCCTAATAAGCAACAATAAAAGAGAATGTTGGATGGAAGAAACAGATTCTCATCTGAATCTTGGTTTGAGAAGGTTGGAGGAACCTGTTTTTTTGGTTGGTTATTTCATTAAAAAAAATGTCAGTGCCTCCCACCTGACGCCCTCAGAATAAGCTGTTTTGTTTTGTTTTTTAATTTAATTTAATTTACAGCAACTTCAGTATATTTAATGAAGGCATGAACAGATGGAGTCAGAGCAAGAAGATCCTGTTATCAAAACGGAAGTGAAAAATAGACCTTTCACATGCTTTTACTTTTTTTGACCAACCATCTGTCCCACATGGTTGTACTGCATGACTCTTGAGAGTTTACACAAACTGCACTTTTCCAAGTTTTTACCAGTCAATCAAAAAAACAAAACAAACACACAGCAACAACAACAAAAATATCAATAGGTAAACTCGATATAACATTCATACCATTCCTTGTTTCTGTTACTCTACTTTAAATCGATGGGGGTTTGCTTTTGAGATTATGACATAATACATGATATTTAGCTTCAAAGTTAGTTATACTTAAACAAAATAGTACTAAGAAAACGTATGTGCATTAAATGGTTTTTGTTGTCAGTTTAACAGAGCTTAAATCGATTTTTCATCTAGCCAAATGTCATGTGGCTATCTCCTGTACGTATGAAGTTATGATGGGTCAAAAATGCTGGAAAATATACGTAAAATTTGTGTACTTTGTGTGGAAGAAAACTGACGAATGGATGGAATGACAACAATGACAAATAATTCAATAAAGAGTTTTAGATTTTTCTCCATAATGAGACACAAAAATATAAAATAGCATTAAAATGGAAACATGTGTGAAGTATAAAATCCTGCTTCTGTGCAGTTCTTGATTAGATACACTTTTTTACAGCAGGAGGTCAGAGAGAAGTAACAATGTTGGCACAAAGAGGCACGCTGAAAAGTGGACGTCATGCTGGGGTGAACCAAGAGTTAATGTGCTGTGAAACTACAGAGTGTGATGTCACACTTCAAGGTGAGATTTAGTGGATCCACAGTGAGTGCCTACCAAAGGTCAAGTGCAGCTCGATGTGAGTGAGAGGGGCAGAGTGTGAATCTACATATCTTGTAGAAATTACTTCAGGTCATTTCAGCTTTATTTGATAGTCAGAGTGTGGGAGAGACTCTGATAGACTATGGCAGACGAGATGATAATGATCTCAGCTCAGTCTCAGTTACAGAGAAGGACCTCAGAATATAAAAATAACCAGATCTAGTCATTGAACATCTTGCAATTCTAAGATAAAGGGCAATAGCAGTTAATACGAGTTGACAAATAGTGCCTCTATGAAGCCGTGATCACAGATCGCCCTTTATGTTCTAAATGAAAACCTGGATCACAGTCCGTGTCTGGTCTCCCGCGCTCCTTTTCCCGTGTTTCTCAGTTGCTCTCTATAAGGTGCTGTTTCCAAGGTAACAACTCTATGGAGAATTGGCCACCTGAATTTCAGATGGAGTGGAAAAGGAGGGTGAACAGTGGTCTGCTGGCTCTCCGACTGTAAGGAATACATCCTCGTCTTCACTGGTGCTGTCTGTCCTGCAGTGAACATTGGTCTTCATTATGCCATACTCAGCAAGCTGAAATTAAGCCTGTGACAGTTTGGCGTGTTTAAAAATAATTTCTGTTATTGTCAGAATATGTGATTAATGTCTGATCTGGGTAGGTCTGGGTAGGTGGGTCATTAGTTTCCCTCATATGCATGTAATTGACATGTGTCAATTACATGCATTAGTGTGGTTAGTTAGGTTTTAGTGTGTTTTTTTACACTCATATTTGTATTCATAAAAAATAGAAATATTTTAAAAAAAAATTAAATAACAAAGGTCTAATTTCCATACCATAAAGATATTTATATCATTCCAGCAGGAGCATGAATCATACTGCCCTGAATACTTTTTCCTCCTTTGTTTTTGAAGTAACTAACAGGAGCTTTAACAGGTTAGTGATATGGTGTTGTAAGTGTGCCCTCCAGCGTTGATATCAAGGAACTGCAAGACTACGTTTCAATTTAATCTTGAAAATTGTGCACTAACCAGTTTATTAGGTACTCCTTGCTAGTCCAAGGATGGACCCCTGTTTATTTTTTAACCTTCAGAACTACCTTAATTCTTCATGGAATAGATTCAACACGTCTCCTGAAATGTTTCTAAGAGATTTTTGTCCATACTGACACGAGAGCATCTGTGATGCAAATGTGCCTTTTTCACCACGCCCCAAAGATTTGGTTGGATTGAGATCTGGTGACTGTGGAGGCCATCTGCGGACAGTGGCATCGTCATGGTCAAGGAGCCAGTTTGATATGATAGGACAGTGTGGTCAACAATTTTCATAATACACTGCTGTGCCACCAGTAGTCTAAACCATTCATTCAAGGCAGCATGGATCATTGCTTTCATGTTGTTTGCACCAAATTCTGACCCTACCATCTGAACATTGGTAGAGTGAGGCTACTTAGCATTTGTGTTAACGAGCAGTTGACATACCTAATTAAAATGTGACTCAAAAAGAATTACAATTCTTGACATCACCATGAATAGAAATGATTAAGGCCATAAATATTTCAGCAACAAGCTATTATAACCCAAACTATGCCTGCGATTTTGACTAAAGTTCATATTGTGCTGACCCTCAGAATTATGTCAACTAGGTTATTTAATCAGTTTTTAATGCAATATTAAATGTGACATTGCAGCTTTTGAAGAATTTAATCACACCAACTTGATTTGTAAAAAAAAAAAAAAAAAAAAAGAAGTCAGGAAGAAAGACTTACAATAGAGATCTCTTTATTATAGTGCATTTATCAGACGTTACAAGATGGGTTTAAAAAAAAAAAAGCATAAAAGGTAATTAAGAAATACATATGCACGTACCATGTAATTTTCACAGAAACGAAAATTAAAGCTTCACATCTGAACAAGAGCAGGTGGATGACATTAAAATACATTTTCTTACAGGTTTTTTTTTATATATATATACACACGCACACACACACATCTGTATTTCTTGCTGTTTAGTAAATGATACATAGGATGAAGAAAGCTCAAAGGTTAGTCATTCATTTAAGCAAACTTTATTTAAAAAAAAAAAAAAAAGGAGTCCAGTTTTAGAAAAACAAAAAGGGAACATTAATTTTCCCTTTTGAGGTCAGTAGGTATGACCTTAGAGTTGTCTTAACTCAGTAAGGAATGTGGGGGTGATTGGTTTCTTTCTAAATGTGGGATCCTTTAGAATTAGTGGGTGTAAGGGAAAAGATGATGTCACTGGTTGAACTGCTGTAACAGTGTTACTGGGACACTTCAGCTGTCTGCTGGTATGAGCAATTGGGAGCGTATTTGTGTACGGGTTCTCTGTAACAGCTGAGAGATAAACTGCCGTCTTCGCACAGTCCTGTGTTGTGCAAGCTGATGAGGTTGTGCAAATGGCCCGATGTGACGTAAATGACACCAAGAGAAGCACCTCAGCTACATGCAGAGAAAACACTGAAGCATTAAGAAAGCATTTACAGAACTGACTGATACACTTGTCGTACAAATGTACCGTCTGTCACAGTGCTGACAATGTGGTCTAGAGCATATGCGCATCCCCTCTGGTGACCTCGTGCTGAACCAAACACAATGAACCCTTCCTGAAACCAACCAACTGGTCCCGAGAGCAACAAAATAAAAAACCCACACCAGGCCATGCGTGGATAAAGACTAACAAAAGATAATATAATAGAAAAAAGACCCTAAACCAAGGAGCTACATACAAGAGAAAATAAATCTACCAGTAAATAAAAAGCCAGAGTGGGAGCAACTCTAAAAAAGGCCTTGTTGTTCCAATGAGTGGGGAGTATATGAAACCCACACACATCCACCAATGACCTAGTAGCTACAACACTCTCCTCCACACATGTAAACATGCAACATTTATTGCCTTTTGTAGACCCAGTGATGATGCTTCTTCTAATCCTCTGCAAAAAAAACTTAAGACCCCATGAAAAGACAGACGCAATAACAGATAACTATCAGAAGCAAAATGATGTGACCTGAATTTTGTAAAATCTAAGGAAGTTAATGTGGAAGATTCACAGACACACCGACTCCGATTATAATCTGATTATCAACAGGATCTACACGTTTATGGAATTAAAAGATTTTTTTAATGTAACTTTATCCAGTCCCTAAAAATGTCAAAATGCATAATTTTCAAAAGAACATGAACTATTCCAGGATGTAACACATTATACTTTATTTTACCAAAAATGACACTAGTTACATAGCACAGTGCATCTTGCAAGGTTGGGAGGAGAAAAAAAACAGTTGTGAAAATGGTCTTAATTCTAATATGACAGGCTGATGTAAAAACCTAATTGTTGTTACCTTTTGGTTTTTGTGATTCTAAACATTCTTGACAGATGACCCACAGCAATAATGTTGTGTTGTTCTCTGCTTTGTGGGAACCAGTGCCTCTGGATGTGCTGACACTGGAGGAATGAGATGTCTTGAGAGCTAACTGTGTTCAAGGCACAGCAGGGCTGCTCCGACTTAGCTCACACGTACATGCACAGTCGTTCGTCCGTTCATCCAAAAATACTCAAACACACACATACAGTACAAATGCAGGGGAGCACTAGCCAAAAGGTCCGACGCTTCAGAAAAAATAGAGAGGGAAAAAAAAGAGGAGAGCGTGAGACCAGGACCAGTGCAATCTCCCAAAACACCGCACAGAGCTGGCAGTGATTGATCATTTTGCGTTCCTTAACTGGCTTGAAAGCCAGTCCAGACCCTCGTAGAGACCGTCTCCAGTAGTAGCACATGTGGCCTGGATATACCAGTTACGGTGACGCAGGGAGTGCAGGGCCAGTTTGTCTGTAAGCTCAGCTGCATTCATGGCGTTGGGCAGGTCCTACAGGTGCAGAAATTAACCGTTAATAACAAGCGTCCCCTGGATAGGTTACCTCGAATAATTTGCCTTTGCTTTTATTTTGAAGTAAAAAAAGGAGAGTTGAAACCACGAACTGTATCATTATTGACCTTACAAAATGTATAAGATGTTTACATCTTATATATTTTTTGCAAGTAGTTGTGAGGTAATGCAGCCAAATGTGTAGTTTTTTCCTTCGAGTGATTTTAAATTAAGATGTATTCAAATAAATACAATAACCTTCACCTGATACAAGTACAACTGTAATTTCTAGTAATGAATTCTGAATATCCTGCAGTTTCATCTGAAAGGGGGTTAAATATGGTGACTTCTTTGACTTCTCAAACACAAATTCACCTGTTTATTTGCAAACACGAGCAACACGGCATCTCTCAGCTCATCCTCAGCCAGCATTCGCATCAGCTCCTCCTTCGCCTCACCCACTCGCTCTCTGTCATTACTGTCCACTACAAAGATGAGGCCTGAAAGTAAAGTAAAAAGGGTCAGTTTTGAGGGCAACCATGAACTAATTCTTATACACCAAAATGGAAAAGATATAAGTTATCTCACCTTGTGTGTTTTGGAAGTAATGCCTCCAAAGCGGCCTGATCTTGTCCTGACCGCCGACATCCCACACTGTAAAACTGATGTTTTTGTATTCTACCGTCTCAACGTTAAAACCTAAAGTGAGAGATGGAAGGTTTAAACAAGTTTCAACAGTGTGTTGGCTTTTTTTCTTTTTTTAAATGCCAAAATTTCAATGTTTTGTATCAAGCAATGAAATTCTCATTACAATGTGGGGGATGACTCACCAATGGTAGGGATTGTGGTAACAATTTCTCCCAGCTTGAGCTTGTACAAGATGGTGGTCTTTCCAGCAGCATCCAGTCCTACCATCAGGATCCTCATCTCCTTCTTTCCAAACAATTTACTAAAAAGGCTAGCAAAATTTCCCATCTTGTCTCACCTGCAGGAGGAGAAACTGTCAGTTTGCAAGGTCTCTGATAATGTGATACCAAACTAAAAGCAATTTCACAAAGACAGCTGAAGTGCTGACATCAGAAGTAGGAATGTGCGAAACTAGTCAATTAACCGTTGCTGCTGTCAGTCGTGCCAGACGTTCTAGTCATTTAATCCAATTATTAAACGTTTCCACTGACGCCAAATGCTGGTAAATTGTTGTGCAACGTTATGCAACCATCTGCCACAAGATGGACCATCGTTGATCAGAAACACCATGAATCTGTTAGTCTAGGCAGAGTCTTTTTGTTAATTCTTTTTAATAATTATTGTTGGTTATTTTAAAAGTGAAAGAATAAGATCGTGGATAAACGCGGAAGAAACGTGCAACATTTGGAAACCATGATATAAAGTGCTGCACAGTTAAGTGGCTCGATTCCCTACTGAAGAATGCGATTAATGGTTTCAAATGCTTTTGTTTCGAGAGTTTTTGGCATTGTCCTATAAACGGTTCTCAAATTAATTTGATATCCAAGTTTTTGTTTTAAATTAGTCATTTAGTCCAACTGATTTCCCCTTGTTAAGTGAACTTAGAAATTAGTCGCCACAAACAAACCTAATCAGAGGGTGATGTTAAGTTTCTACATTTTGAGCCCCTTTGAGGACATTCGCTACCACTGCTATGCAGACGACATCCAGATATATGTGTCTTTTAAACCTGAAGATGTTTCTAAGCTGCAGATTCTAAATGTGTGCTTAGAATCCATCTAAGGTTGGATGGCTGACAACTTCCTCCAACTTAATGAAGAAAAGACTGAAGTCCTTGTATGTGCTCCAGACAGACATGTACCTAACATAATGAATGCTCTTGGTCCTCTTTCAACATTTGTGAAATCATCTATCAGGAACCTAGGAGTAACCTTTGGTTCTGCTATTACCCTGAACGTCCACGTCAAATCTCTGGTTCGGTCATGCTTCTATCATTTAAGAAACATTTCTAAACTGAGCCCTATAGTATCTCATACTGAACTGGAGATTGTTATTCGTGCATTCATTTCATCACGATTGGACTACTGTAATTCACTGTTTACATGTCTAAACAAAAACTCCCTGAAGCGTCTGCAGATTGTCCAAAATGCTGCAGCAAGGCTTCTGACAAAAACATCTAAGCACTCTCATGTAACATCGTTGCTTATACAGTTGCACTGGCTCCCCGTTGAATTAAGAGTCCATTTTAAGATACTGGTTCTGACATTTAAAGCTCTTCAAGGACAAGCACCAGCCTACATCATTGAACTTTTACAGCCCTATGTCCCCAGTAGATCCCTGAGATCTTGTTTTATACTTTGTGAAGCACTGTGATCTTTTTATCTAGAAATGTGCTATATAAATAAAATTTTACTTGCTTACAAGAATCTCATGCAGGAAAGTGTCATTATTATTGTTCCCTATATTCCTTATTGTGTCAGTGTTAATGACCGTAAAAAGCACTTCTGTAACATCCTCCTGGCCCTAAAATGAAACAATATTTGCCCTTCAAGTAAACGGCTGCTGCAAACACACCTCCCAAGTTAAACAGAGGCCATAGTGGCAGTGCTGCTTGTCCTGGGTATCCAACAAGCTTGTGGCTAAGGTAAACAAGAACCAGTACAAAGCATTACACTTAATAAGCTGACAGATGTTGTCTTAATAACAAAGGAGTAATTGGTTAACTACTTAGAAAAGACGGAAGAGATTTCATTTAGCTAATATAGTTTAGTGAAATGTCGCACAGCACATTTTTAACCTAGTTAGATGACCTGATCAGATGAACTACTGAGGTGAGGTTTCACTACATACAGATGAAGAGGGAAAACATTTTTATTTTAATCCTTTTGAAATGCCAGAAATTCTGCTTTTTCTCATAAATTGTGGTCTCATCTTCAAAGTCTGAGGCACAGGTGTAAGCACATAGATTTGATACTGTTTGAAAAATAATATGTCATCGAAACATTAACCTGTAAACTTACTCTTTACCCAAGCCATACAGGAAACCATACACCCTTACTAGATATTGTTTTCATAAAGTAAATTTGCAGCTTAAATAATTTTTTACCAAAAATTTCTTTTATTCCTCATAAACCCTGCTTCTTGATTTAGGGCTTTTACAAAACGTTTCATGACGATTATGAGACAGAACAAACCAACTTGTGCTGCTCAGCAGTTTATTTGGTGTAAACTTGGATGAGATCCATTTTTATACCTTTTTTTAAATACCATTTTTATACCTTTAATAGGGATAAATGATATATACTGGATAAGGGTATGTATAGGATTAATCACCTAAAAAATTAAAGGTCACTTTAATAGCTGGGAGAAGAAATACAAGAGTTGCAAGAAGCCAAAATGTTCTTAACCAGCAGGGTGGAAAGTTGTACGGATCACATCTGTTCTAATCAGTGCAGTTTAGTGTTAAATTCTAGTATTTCTAGTCAGTAAAATTAAGTTTTTCCCTTGAAAAAAATAAAATACAGTTTTTTAAAAAAGGGAGGCTTAAGTTGTTTTCACACAAACTACTGAAAAAGTCAGATCACGGTGAGACACTCCCCAAAGTTGTTATTTCTCACATGTAGCATAAAGCTGGAGCTTGTGAGCATCTGCTGTGTTCTCACTTTGGAAATGACACAGCCAAGAGCACTGTGTAGCGTCCAGCAGGCAGAACACAGGACGGCCACTCAGTAGCTTTGAAAACACCAGGCTTAGGGCTGTGCACTCTATTTACATTTTTATGTGCTATAAAAAAAGAAAAGAAAAGGGAGAGATAAAAAAAAGAAAAAAAAGATCTCATGTACCATGTGTTTACATTCCTAAGTATGCACAACAACAAGCCCAGACATATCTGAAAGCGAGAGACATGTGTCACTCACGGGTTATTGGCTAAAAAGGTGAACGCTTACACCTTCTGCAGCACCACTACTGCAGCACTGGCTTGACAGACTCTGTATGACAGGAAACAAACAGTGGATGAAACCTGCCAATAAGGTTACATGGTGGAAAAGCAGGGCTTTAACCAACTTGCTAAAAAGCTGTACCATACATATACAAATACATACAACATACAAATAAAAATAATGTTCAAATTCAACTGAAGAGTTACTTTAAAGTTAAGTTCCTTTTGTTACTGTGGAACTAAAGTGCTAAGCAATTATATTCCATTGAAAACACTACCATAGGTTTACTTCTGTTATTATATTTGACTCATGTTGTGTCACTAGATGTAATAAATTGCCATTACAGTTTTTCTTTAGAAAAGAAAGACAGTAAATGCCCATCATTGTCTTTACACTACTGCAAGCTGTAATCACAGCATACATGTGAGCATACAGCGCAAGTAAAACTTGAGTTATAATGTGGCCAGTGGCAACAGCTGGATTAATATGAGCACTTCCGTTTGGTCAAATGTACGCCGTTTGTTGACTGTAAGCGTGAACAGTATTTTGTAGTCATTTCACAGCTACAACATGTACTTGAGACCAGCAGCTCCTGCTGATCATCTGGCAAGAATGTGGTAAACCCAAGACGCGAATTTAACAGTGCCAAAAAGACTTCCTCAAAACGCCCACTGAATGCACACGATAAACACCGACTTTTTGCATGCCTGAGGCTTGATAAAAATAGCGGTAGTCTAAAAACAAGAAAACCCCCCAAAACAAAACACCAGAATCGAGTGTTACAAGCTCACCGCGACATTAATGCATCGGCCTCTAGCGTGAGGAAAAGAAAAGGACCGATTTAACAGAGAGATTTGGAATATGTGGATTTACTGCCAACTAAATTTACTGTTATCTTTTCAGCATTGAGCTCTGGGATGCATACCACTCTCAGTTTCACAAACAGAAAGCATTAATTATGTTTAGAAAACCAATATTTAGGGACACTATAAAAAGTGATCGATTTCATCAACAAATTAAAGTGCTTTTTGAGATGAGCACTAAAATTTTAAATTTCAAAATATTAATATGCATGTTTGGGGAGAAAAATAATAATAAAAAAAGGAAAGATAATAGGATCTCCTAAGCTATTATGAACTGAGAAAAACAAATATTAGAGGTAGAATAACATACTGGAATCAGCAAGCAGCCTTTCAGGAAACAAGACAGCTTTACGGTATCACATCAGAGGTCAATATTTGTCTTTTCTCTGTTATGTAACATTACAGTGTTAGCTAATCATTCAAAGACTGAAGGTTTTTTGAAGAGCTGAAAGACTGAAAACAATATTAAAGATTAGTTTATTTCCCCACAGTAATTAAAAATACTGTGGGAAAAAATATTAATTATTATCCTACAGTAAGTAATTATTGCTGAAAGAAAAATTAGCAATGGAACAGAATCTTATAAAAATAGATGAAAGTAACATTTTTTCCAGCTCTATATTAGGCCAGTTAATGCACACTCGAGTCTTGTAATGTTAATGAAATAAATAATTATGGACCTAACGGAGTTCAGTATCAATTGATGCCTAGTGTCAAAACCGTTTTCATACATCAACTTTAGACTTTGTGTTGAGACGCTGACTCACACCTGGTCACTTTTGGTAGTTTAAAGGTAGGTGTGGTACTTGGGTTGAGCACATGATGCACATACACACCCCTGCAAGCAGCATTAACGTTAAAAGGCTGGTGACTTGTGCTTAATTTTATAACCGCAAAAAATGTCTGTGTTTACGTGTAAACTCTGGGATAGAGTTACAAAGTGCAGAGACTTCACTTGGATTCTGCAAGAAAGTTTGATCCTCCCACACAGAGGAGCACTGTCTATATGTGCTTTACTGGTTGCTTAGAAGGCAAGGTTTTCCATTTTTTAAAGTAGTGCATTACTTAAATACACCTTTTCAATCAATTAGTCATAAATAGCAGGAAATTTGACAAACTTCTGTTAAGTGATCGAAGACAGACTCATCACCATTACTACAAGTGGACTAACCATGCTCTTGAGCTTACTCAAACCCACACAGGGTCATTATGAGCCAGGAAAAGACAGCTAACGGGGTATTAAAAGTCACCAAGTCTAGTGACAAAGTTGCTTAGTTTGCAGCAAATTAGGCGAACTAAGGAGGGATGGTTACTGCTGGGTGGGCGAGTGACGTCACCACTTTAAAAAAAAAGAAAAAGAAAAAAAAAGATGAGTTTGAAAATTTCACAACACACTCTACCCAAAATGGTCCAGTTACTGTGCTGTGACCTTTCCAAGAACCTCATGGGAAGCAGCAGTGCATTCAGCTTCCTAAAAATCCTCAAACATCATGCTTTTGGTCCGAGGAATGAGGAAGTGATGTTCAGTAGGTGTAAAGCAGTTCTTTGAGTAAACAGGACTGACAGGATCACAGAGGTGAAGCGCCACCCATCCTTCCATTCAATGAAAGAGGTGCGACTGTTTCTGCGAAGTTTTTTGGGGTTTTTTGGGAACCTTTGGGTGACAAAAACTCTTAAAAGTGTCTTTAAACCACTGACTATTATTACTTAACTCTGTGTTTCAAACCTGTCCCTCAGTTTGGTCAGCCGCTCAACCCCCGTAAGACGAAACGTTTAAAGCCGTTTTGATTAACAAAAAATAAATAAACACAAATTTCAGTTTCAGTGCTCTGGTGCAATTTAAATGGCGCTGGTGGCAACTTTAAGCCACCAAGCAGTAGAAAAGAAATTATTTTAATCTCCTTTAAGGTTTTATGGGTGAGTTGGAGCTGTGTGACGTTAACGCTAAGTGACAGCTCATTGACGCTAGCTTGCTAACTGTGCTATGGTCGAGAACCAGCGGAATAACGCGTAATATTAGCCGTTTAGATCACAGTGAGCTCAAAAACGCCACCGCCTAATACAGTTATTGATTACTGTTTAATAAGGGTGTGTACCCAGCGGTCAAAAACTTCTTAAGTCAACACAATGGTGCTAAAGTTAAACTGCTAAGGAAACAGCTTATGAACTTTAAAGTATCCTGCTCAAAGCGTCTACAACTTCAAACCAACCGAGCTGCAGGACTTAAACATCAGCGGCCTTCTTCTGTGTTCAAATGAAATACATATTCATAAGGCTTAACTATATCGTATTTTTCAATGAAAAGAAAAATGTTACCTTCACTGGCGCTTCTCGATGCTTCTACACCACCGATCCGGTTCAACAACAAAATGGCGTTTTCCGGCGACGTCGTGTTCTTCTTCGTCACCATTTTCTTCTTCGTGTGATTTGAAGCGGCTGAAAACATTAAAATCGAGGGTTTGCTTCACCAAATGGTGAGAAGGTGACATTACAAGCTTAGTGCAGGACTGCAAAAGTCTTCAGTATCTTAAAAAAACATAGTCTTCAGCAATAATCCTCCAGGCTTTCCGAGGTCTTTAAACTTTTTTTTCCTTTGGACATTTGGCTGCCTTTCCACTCATTTTAAATAAATTTTAAATAATAAGTTATTTTGTGTAGCAAGGTTATATTAATAACCTAGCAAATAAATAATTTTGAACTATGTCTATAGGCACTTTGTTACTAGCAATCTGTTGCAAAAGCACATCTGTTACCACAATTCTAGGTGAATCTATAAAAAGTAACAAAGAAAACACATAAACAATCACTAACAAGGTGATTCCCAAAAGATTATTATCCAGAAATCTGACATAACCTGGGTTGATGTCCTTGAACGAATTTGATGAAACTAGACAAGTGGAGGACAGAAGAAGTAGTGGCTGGCTTGAAAAAAAAAACCCTTTAAAGAAAAAACTATCTACGGCAGATGAAGAGTTTCTGAAAGTCATGTCCTTCAGAAAAAGAAAAAATCCTCCCAAAGACTGACACAGGACCTGAGAGATGGGATTGAGATGATCCTATAATTGATCCATCTAATTCAGGAAACAAAGACTCAGGTATGGCAAATCAGGCAACAGCTGGACTCAAGATTTATTGATTTATTTGAAGAGAAAAAAAAATCAAATTAAACATTTTTGGTTCAAATCATAATTAGTACAGAGGAGTTCAGGAGAGGAGCATGTACAAAACATAGTGGAGACTCCACAATGATTTGGAGCTTCATTTTAGCCAGTGGCATTGGGAATCTTGTCAATATTGATTGAACTATAAATTCAGTGTCACCAGATTCTAAACCAATACTATGGGGAGTGTCTAGTTGGCAACAGCTTCCCTTTTCAGCATGATGATTTCAGGCTGCATTGAAGAATAAAGGCAACCATCCCAAATATTGACTTTTCAGCTGGTCAGTATTGTGCAAATTCAGTTTTTCCCGTATAGACTGTATTCCTGTGTTTGCAGACATCACCTATTTTTCTCGCAAAATATAAAAAAATTAGGGTTTACTCAAGACTTTTGCTGTTGGCCTCTGGATGGATATATCCAATCATATAATTAATAAAAAAAATGATAAAGTAATATTATTGAGTATTAAGCTATAATTTACAACATAATTTGACAGACTTTTCCATTAAAGGATGGGACTGCCTTAACAAAAAAAAAAACCTCCATGCCTCCTTCTTTAGCTTAAACGTGAATCAAATGTAGATACACAACCAAACCATTAGTATTATTGTCTCTACGTTCATTTGTATTCCCAGATTTATTCTTTATTTCAAAAATCCTCTAGATGGGGCTCCATCCATGCCTGTTTTTTCTTTTTCTTTTTTTTTCCTTCGACTGTTTGGGACCAGATGGAATAGGTTTGATTGGAATAACAGACTTCAGTGTCTGATTCTGTCCTTTAATTTCAGAACTATTTTCAGACACGGATCCTTTGCTTTCTAGCCATGCGGGGTTTTTTTTTTAAATCCTTTTTTTTTCTTTCAGTGTGTTTGCAGGATCACTGAATTTATACTCTTTAATAATACAATATAAGAACTTATATGTTAAGCAAAGAAAAAATCTTTTTGCTTTCTGAGCCCCTTTGATCAGACAGATGCTTGCTGTTAGATAACCATCATCATGCATATAGACCCTATGTCTGAACAGTTCTACTGTTTATTCATTGCTTCAGGTAACTGACAGTCCTACTCAAACTTTAGATTCAATCACGACTTTAATTAAGTTTTAATTGTATTATTATTATTATTATTATTATTATTATTATTATTATTATTATTATTATTATTATTATTATTATTATCATGAGCTGATCTTGCATCTTCTGGGTGGCGTTACAGTGGGAGGGAACATACAGTAGCAATGTTGAGAGAATCCAATGACAGTGCGGCAGGATGATGTACCCTCCCCCAAGAGTCCTGCCTCCCAGCGGACCAGGGCGCCTGGCGCAGCGGATTGAGGGTCTGAGTGCATGAGGGGCCCCTTAAAGAGAAGCGCCGAGCAAACGGCACGGACTTTCTCTATTGAAGAATCAGCGAGATGAGGAACAGCGCCAACCCGGCATCATGCGCTCCAGGCTCCCGAGGACCGCCTGCCTATTGCGAATCATTGCACTCTGCATCCTTCTGTCGCACACTGCAGCTTATTTTGGGTCAGGCAATGAACTTTTACTTGTACATTTCATCTCGGTTGTTTGGCTTTTCTGTTTAAATCATTAGAAGTGACCACAGCCACAACCTTTACAAGCTTTAGCTGAATTACGCACGCGTAATTATATTTTTATAGGGCTGTTCGAAGTCCATGTACACGCTAATATGTTCCACTGAAACAAAAAAAAATCCATATTCGCAATTTCAAATGTATTTTAAGGTAAATGAACATAAAAGTTTTATTCCTGGATTTTCTTCGAGGGAGAAAATACCGTTGTGGGAACACATTTGTAATAACAACATATGCTGGAGTGGTGACAGAATAGTTTCATTACTGTGGACGCAGTGGTGGTGTATTTTGTCACACACATACAATTTCTAATGTGATTTTTCCCCCTCTTCTATAATCCTAGACTGACAGGTCGGGAACCTCTGGTGTTTTTACCAGCTCCGTTTTCCAATGAAGCTCCATCAGGAAAGGCCCACCTGAAGCAGTGCGAACAAATGACTCTGACGAGGAGACAGAAGAGACTCTGTCGCAGGGAGCCGGGCTTAGCCGAGACGCTTCGGGAGTCGGTGCGCCTCAGCCTCCTTGAGTGTCGGTATCAGTTCAGAAACGAACGCTGGAACTGCAGCCTGGATGGTCGGGGAAGTCTTCTGAAAAGAGGTGAGCCACTTTAACACTTTCCTTAATTTTGGGTTCTTGCTCAAGGTCACTGAGAAAGTCGGAAATTCTCTTTTATCTAACTACAAATTATATATGTCTTCGTCTTTATTTACCTGCAGTGCATGGCTGAGCAGTAAGAACAGGATGTTTTATAGATAAGCACACCTGTAGTGCTGCAGGCATGTTTTTGTCGACATAAGCTCATCAATCAAAAAGTGAAAATGAGAAAAATGAACCAGTAAAAAAAATTATGCGTAAACGTTTTACCACCAGTTTAACAGCTGTAAAAGTTTGTAAACAATAAGGTTTCTTGTTCAAATTTAACAAAATAATTAAACTGATATTTTCTATTTTATTTCAAACAATACAACATTTTACAAGCCCCTTTCTCACACAGGGAAGCAACTTTTTCAATAAGATGTATTACATGCTGTACAAGATAGAAACTGAATATACACCCGTTTATAAGTTTTTACAGGTTCTTTGTTTTGTTCCTAATAGTCGTTTGTTGCATTTCTAAATAAACAATTGAGACATGAGCTTCAACTATTTGCAGCAAAGTGCTGAAAATGATTCCTGTATATTAAAAAAAGCTTGGTAAGTTATTTTGCTTGAGAAAACCAGTGACAAAATTAATTTTCTTCATCTCATTTAAAGTTAAAAATGTTCCTAAGTCATTCTGTATACCAAAGAATGTGTCAAGATAACACTCGGTAACTCCTCTGAACCCCTTGACTTGATACAACCTTTTAAAGTTTTTGAGAAGCTGCTTACTTGAATACTTTATAATTTACATGGCTTGATACACCTATTGATTAGTTACCGTTGGATCACCATATTGCATATAGCTCAAAATCCCTCCTGTGCACATAAACTCCTTTAGGATCTTCTAAGCTTTATGCATATGGATATCAGCGTGTGGGAGAACATGAACAGGTCAGCACAGAGGTAATGAGGGAGTAGAAAGCCAAGAAATGTGGTGCGGTGCAGAGTGCTCAAGCCCTGTGGTTATTTTTATCTCGGGAAAGTGGCCATTCCCAGAGGAAAAGGGCGGCGTGATTACCCACTTTCATCTGGGAAAATCCTTCCTAGTCAAAATAATAATTAATTGGATCAAAATATACCATGGTGATGGCTCTGGGTGAAGCAAATAACAGTGCAAAACCAAAAGGAAATGTCAGGAGAGGAATTGCGACGTAAGAAAACTTGCAGAATTGCTGATGTTGTTGTAAACCCTGACAACGCATCGAGTCCTCTGTAAACATTCTGGCTTAAAAGGTTAATCGGTGACGCAAAAAGCATTTTGTCGTAAATTTTGTTCTTTCAGAGCAAATGTTTCGGAGCACCAATAGCTTTTGCATCCAAAGCCTTGAAAAAATGTAGCTTTAAATATTTTTTCTTTTCTTCCACCTCCCCTGATCCCTCTGCCACAGCTTTCAAGGAGACTGCATTCCTGCTGGCTGTGTCCTCTGCAGCACTGACCCATGCACTTGCCAAAGCATGCAGCTCAGGTCGAATGGAGAGGTGCACTTGTGACGATTCCCCCGGGATCCAGCATCGGGAAGCGTGGCAGTGGGGGGTCTGTGGTGACAACCTGAAATACAGCACCAAGTTTCTCAAAAAGTTCCTCGGCCAAAAGAGGGTCAGCAAGGACCTGAGGGCTCTGGTGGATGCCCACAACATCAACGTTGGAATTCGGGTGAGTGTAGAAATATTACATCAATTATTCTGCAGCAAAACAGCTTACTCCTTGAAGCCTGAGGCGACAAAACGTACGCCTTAGCAACACTCAGTTCGATTAATTGTTCTGCGATTTTACCTGACAATTACACCTCTGACGCAGTCCCCACTATCAAATGTTATTGAACTGTAATCCTCGCCTCTATATTTTTCATGGTGCCAGCCAGATAAATGCTCTCTGATTTGGTGCTGTCATCGGCCCGAGCGGATAATACAGAGGCAGAGGGTGAGGCAGTTGTAGTGAGGAGACAAGATGGCTGTGGGATGGTTGGAGCCAGGTGTTTTCAGGCATGATAAAGCTTGCTGTGCGGGCCAGCAGAAAATTAAAGGTCTCATTTCAGAGAGAACGATTATAACCGTGGCCTCTTTTTAATATACGAGCAAGCATTTTTTTCCACTTACTGGATCACTGTGCTCTTCATAAATCCACCTAATGTTCATAACCACCACTGTGTAGCTGTGAAATAGCAGGCCCCAGGGTCCTACTCCTGTAGCTCACACCTAGACAAGGCTGATGTGGAGAAAAAGGAAAAACACGACTATCTTATCTAATCTTTACTGAGTTAAATGTTTTCCTCAGTTGACACCAGTGTGGCCATAAGAGACCAGGAGCCATGTTAACAAAAACTTTAAGTGGTTGGCATCCCTCATCTCACATTAATGGTGTTCTGAAGCCCCCGAGGGGTTCATGCCTGCCAAAGGAGGAACTGAGCAGAAGTACCTAGAAGTACCCTCTGGGTCTCTCTGTATGACCTGTCTCTGGCCTCTGCAAAGACAGCAGCTCTCAGGCTGAGTGATTGCTCTCATCACTGACCATCAAGCTCAGTGAACTATTAACCTAAATCAGGGGCACCACTACCAAATGCTGCATTATGTTTTTGGCACTTCTTGCGCAGAAATTCTTATTGATGTTTTCCATGAGCAGGCATGTACTAAAAACAGGGTGGAGAGATTCCACTCGCCCCTGTTTGTCACCTCTGCCTCAGGCTTTAGGAAAGAGGCAGGAGAGAAGCCGACAGAGCTAGTTTCAACACACCGAGGAAAAAAAAATAGCAAGAGCTGTCCAAGTGAGAAATGCGGGGTGAAATATGACATGCTGAACAGCATCTTTCAATCCATTATGTCAAATTTTTGACTGAGGTGAGCTAAAGGCACATATTGGCGGACCACCACTCCTAACCCCCTATGCACCCTGCAGGAAATTGTCTCACTCTTGCCAGATAGACCTCCCAGATAAGAGGCCAGGTAATGAATCAAAGTGAAGGAACTGACATTTCTTCCCTTTTTCCCTCCAATTCCTACCCCCCTCAACCTCCCATCTTATCCCAGGCAGTGAAGAGCGGACTGAAAACAACCTGCAAGTGCCATGGTGTCTCCGGCTCTTGTGCTGTACGGACTTGCTGGAAGCAGCTGTCTCCTTTTCACGACACTGGACGCCTGTTGAAGTATCGATACGACACTGCTGTGCGAGTGCTGAGCGTCACCAACGCAGCCACCGGGGAGACCGAACTCGCAAGCCCCCGTCGCCAAGGTCAGAGCCTCCGGACTACCGACCTGGTCTACCTGGAAGACTCCCCCAGCTTCTGCAGGCCCTCTCGCTACTCCCCTGGTACAGGTGGCCGTTCGTGCGCCAAAGACACAAGCTGTCAGAGTCTGTGCTGCGGACGTGGTTATAACACAGCCATGCGCCTCACCAGCCTGTCTTGCCACTGCCAGGTACGCTGGTGCTGCCACGTGGAGTGTCAGACATGTGTGAGAGAGGAGGAGGTATATACCTGCAAAAATGCATAGCTGCATGATGAGATAAAGACATTTGCAAAGACCTGAATAAAGAATGATCCTTTGAGTCAATGGAAAATGTGATTTAAAAAAAAATGAATCACTGATCATGGACAGGACTGAACTGTAATCTCCTATAGACACTTAACACTAAGGGATTGTGAACTGCATGGAATATACAAATGTAATAATATTATACTGCTGGTTATAGTCACTAAATTGATATGCAACAGCTTACTGTAGGTGAGGATGTTTTCAAACTACCCTGCTTTTCTCTCGCTGGATGCACTGAAATCTCACTCTCCTGAGGATGAGGAGGGAAAATGCTCTTACAGCAGGTACTGGACCGGACTGGAAGACACCGGATGCTGAATCCTGTCTGCAAGGAAGCTCTAAAAGGGATTTTGTTGTGTTGTAATTGTCTCCCTCCATTTCACTATTTATTGTGCCAGTTTTGTTGTACTGCTGCTTTATATTTTAATTCTTGGAATCAATTGTTATCAATGAGGCTAAAATAGCCTTTAAAGGAACCTACCTGTCTGACTTTCTGTCTGCTGTGGTGAACTTTTAGCTAAAGTTCAGTCCTGACTAAAAAGCACTTAAGTTGCTCTTGCTTCATGAGATCCTATGTGCATTATGAATTGTTTGTCTTTAGGTCTAAATATATGATTAGAAAGAATCATTGGAAGCTTTGAGCAGTGATTAATGCCACACAACCTGCATTGTAACTGATGCATGAGAAGCTTATTGTGCAAGCAGAGAAGCTGGCTTTCAGTTGCTCTTATGGAAATGTCTATGGAAATCTTTACATGTGGACTAATGTGGGCTCAGTAGAACAAAGGGAAATACCTGGGGCAATAGTGAGGGAAACACCAAACACTGTGGTTAAAAATCACTTTTTTGCTTAATTTATCAGCATACCAGCCTGGCTCTTCTAATTCTGCTGTTTATAGAAACACACACTTTGCTATGCTTTCAAGTTTAAAATTATTTGGCCGAACCATTTGGTCTTCAAAGTCTAATTTAGCCACGTCTTTGTTCTGACTGCCTTTGAAGTGGGCTAATCATGCTCCTTATTTGCCTAAATTGCTAATCAAAGACAATCACCCAGTTTACTACCCTTATATATTCAACTTCAATGTGTCCATGTGTGCAGGTCAAAAGTGCGTGCCGGACCCCAAAGGTTTGTTTTTATTGGCCAGTTAATGTTTTCTCTGAGGGACTCTGAACTGTATATATAATCTGAGTATAACTCATGTCAGGGGTCCTGGCGTCTGACAATGTGGAATCATAATTTTCTACCTCACTTCATCTTTTGGCAAATATCAGTAAGATTTATGAGCTATGCAGAGTTATCCTCTCTGTAGATACATGTTTTCCCCTCTGCATTCGTTATAAACATCATATTTGAGATGTTTGTACAGCTCTTTTTAATTTGGTAATATATGAATACTCATTTTTCCAAAGCAAGTTTTTATAAAAATCTAGTTGCTTTACATTCTTATTTAAAACAAACAAGGTTAATAAATGGACAACGAGTCACAAGGCCTACGTGTTTGTTGTGTCTTGCTCAGTTGCTGCAGGCAAACACACTAAACCATGTGCACACGCACACACTTCACACGCAACAAGGAAGCGAGCGCAATACACCTGCCCGAAACACGGCTCTGTGCATCGACTGAGCAAAAAACCACTTCCTGCTCATGGTGGCCTGGCCTCCTTTTCATCTGAAAATCCTGTGGTCGTGCTGCATCGCCATCAACCGCCCAACCGAAAGGCGAGGGCTGCGTGCGCGGAGAACACGCTTACAGGTGTTGTGCCTCTGGCCAGCGCACCAGCCGCGATGACAACCATAATGCAGATGATGACAAAGGTGGTGACTCAGAGGAGCGCTGTCTTTCAGAGCATTTGACCCCCAATTCACCATTAGAAAGTTACAATCGACCGCCCCACAACGATGATGAGAGCAGTTTATGTGCTATTATCCCTGAATCATAACTTTCCACTCATTTGCAAGGCATCAGTGAACCTACAGCATACAGAGGGCTATTGTATACGGTATTTATAGTGTGTTCTCTGGTGCTTTTGATGTTGCTCTCTAATTACTGTGATTACGCATTATTATTCCTTATTAGAACATTCACTTAAAACCCAAAGCATTGCAGTAAATTATAAGATAATTTTTTTAATTACTTTATATTATTGATGTAGAGCAAGTTATTGTTGGGGCAAATTCGTTTTTAAGTAAGATGAGTAAACTTGTCTTGGCTGTTCAGATATTTTAATGAATTTTTAGGACTACCTTGCATAGAAGAAAAAAACAGGTGTTTGCTTTAATGGCAAAACTTTATGGAGAGCCAAATGTCACCTTGGGGAAATAGGGAAAGGTTAGCTTGGGCAATAGAGAAAAAAAATCTTAAATGTTTTCTTGTTTTTGTCGAAAACTATTCCAAAACCAAACATATGTATGCAAATATTCAAAGTTTCAGTTTTACTAAACTTCATGTATTTTCACTATGATACACATCCGGCTTTAGTGATTTGAATTCTGACAGCTTGTTAAAGCCACTGCAGAGCCTTTAAAGGTATTTTACCTCAAGCAATAAAATGCACCACTGCTTACTATAAATCACCAGCGGCTTACTCTAACTCTGACTTTATGATATTTCACCTTTTTTGTTTCCCATAGTCTTTAGGACAGTTTCACATACTTTCCCAAAGCCTTAAGCTAACATGATCATTTAAAGAATCACATGGTTAAATAGGGCAGTTTTGTTTGTTTTTTAGATATTGAAGAGTTCATACTTTAGTGATATGTGATCTCCACTGGACCGCAGCAAGATTCTTTGGTCTGTCCAGCAACTATATTGTATTGCCTCTTTGAACTTTTGAATGTGTCCTTTGCTGCAAAACTAATTTCCCTTCTCAGACAATAAAGTTGAAAAATTCAGTTCAGCAGTACACAAAATGCGTCAGCATCTCTCCAATGACTGAGGTCAAACCAGTTCGTGTTGTCAGACTACTGACTCACTACATTAACTCATCATATTATAATAATCCAGATCAATATTTAACTTTATTCATCATGAATGTCATGTATTAAAAAGCTGCAGGATAAAGAGCAAGATGGCGGAGTGTGTCACGGAAAGAAAGGTGGAGCAGGGTTTAGATATTGAGGGACATGAAGGAAAAAGATGAGGATGGAGGGATGAGAAGGGATAGCTTGTGGCCCCGGGAGGCCTATCCCCTGCTGCTGCTCTTGTTGTTTTATAATGAACTCCTAAAGCTTTCATTTCCCTCACTACCCTCACTGGAGGGGGCGCAGCGATGGGGGCTGCTGAGTCCACGGCCGGATTCGCACGCACAAGCCCCAGGGGTGGGGAGCTTTGAGCTGGGTGGGGAGGCTGGACTGAGCAGAGGTGCAATAGCCAAGCGCCTGTGTATGTGTTTGAAAGAGTCCTGACAGCAGACAGGTGAGGGCGAAACAGTTTTTGCATATGTGTGTGTGAGCATACTTGACGAGTGCACACCTGTGGTCACTTCAGCCGTGTTTGTAGTGAGGTCTTCGTGTGCGGGTGTGGGCTATAGTCACCCTGCCATGTGCCGGAGCTTCTCTCTGTCTGCCTGAGACACTGAATAACATAGATAATGTAGGTTAAGGCTGATGGTAACACTATCTCCTGTGTCTTCACTGGCTTGGTTCAGGTAAAGGTTACTATGCCGGGTTGGGCTGCAGCAGTGCACCATGCTGTGATAGATGAAGATGAATTGGCAAATCAGGGCTGGGGCATTTTTTCAGATATGTATTATATTTGCGTTGCTTAGCAAAAAGATATTATCCATAGAGACTTACATAGCTTTCAGGTTTATACATCACTCATTTGTGTAAGAACAGTAGATGTTAACTCAAGCGTGGAAGGCTTGGTAGATACTTTGCTCAAGGACACAAAGCGAAGTCCTGTCCTGTAATCGAAACCTCTGAGCCCCAGGTCAAACATCTACACCCTACAAGACTTCCGCCTCTGGAGAGGAGACTCTTAGACAGCATTGGAGCTGTGCCTAATCCCCACACCCTGACATCACACGGAGATAATTAAATAATGAAGACGACGAGGAGAGGAATGGATTTGGTGAAGAAGAAGAGGGAAAAGAGAGATACAGAGAGTTGTGAATACAGCATGGGGTAGGAATTTGGAATGTGAAATGACTAATGCAGTTGCTCAACCCACAACAAGAACATGCACTGCCTAGAGCTATGACAAGGCTGAGTGCATACCTCTAACTCAGAGGGCTGGGTTGGACTGGGATGGTGGCTGAGTTCCTCGCAGTAGGTGATGAGATAGTGCATGCCTGTTTGATGGTCAATTAAGCGGGCACAAGGTTTAAATGATGAATAGTTTGGTTTGTTCACCTGCGGATGGAGAAAAACAAGAAGAGCTGACAGGTATTACAATACAAATGATTAGTTCATACAAATTAATATAGGATACTAAATCAATCAAAGGAAAAATATGAAACTTGGAGTACAGGCTTTGCCTTAGAGCTTAAATTTACTGACAAGGTAATCAACTGAAGAATGAATGAGGATCTATTTTGTCTGTCAATAAAACATTGAAATCATTTTCTTTTCTTTTTGTCTCTCATAAATCAGAGTTGGAAGGGATAAGCAGCCTCATGGTTCTTAGAGGTCTTAGAGGGAACCAATATCATCGTTGACCGTTTGTGGATCTTCACATTTTTCAAAATTTCATTTCATTTCTTCTAAACTGAACTGATTTAATTCCAATTTAAATCTTTCTAAGCTTATGGTGTTTTTAAGCATGTTAGCACTGTAGACAGTTTAATAGATGGATGTAGCTTGGTCTAAAAATTGAAGATCACAGGCAGTGGCTTAAGCCTGCATTCTTTTTCATCGTCACCGAGGGAAGACTCAGAAAAATTATCCGGTTTTAAATAAATTTGCAGCAAAATAGTCCCGTCTCCCTTGTTCAGTGACCTCACTAATTGATCCTGATGACTTCATGAGCTTACACACTGAATAGAACATTAGGTCCATTAGTGCATTCATTTGCTCTCTTCTCTTTCCCTTCACCCCCAACATGGGTTGATCAAAGTGCAGTACAACTAAAAGGAATAGACAACACATAAAAAAACAAAACTAAAATGTAATAAACTCACTCCCATTTAAATGCTAGGGTGTAAAGATGTGTCTTCAAGTGGGATTTAAAAGATGTGGAGAGTTGGTGAGGTTCTATCCCCTGCAACACATGCAACCATAGCAAAAGCCTGTGCCATCTGTGCTTTAGGCTCAGCTCACCTTAAAGTATGCATAGTTTTAAGTTCAGAAAGAGGGTACGAATTGCAAGGGAAGATCTGATTATTGGGCTTTTCTCTATAATATTGCAAGGACTTTACCTTACTATATAAAGCACCTCAAGGGGACCGTTCTTGTGATTTGGTGCTATACAAATGAAACTGAATGTAAATCGACATGAATTGAATTCATTTTATGCAACTTGTCCAGGTTGCAGGGGGAATGGTTTAAGCAGAAACACAGAGACTTTCCTCTCCCCATCTACCTCCTCCAGCTCTTCCAGTGGGACCACAAGGTGTTCCCTTGCCGGCCAAGAGATATGATCTCTCCAGCATGTCCTGGGTCTGCCCCGGGGTCTCCTCCCATCAGGACAT